GTCTCTATCGCAAGAACAGAAAACCAAACACCGCATGTTCTCACTCATAGGTGGGAATTGAACAATGAGATCACTTGGACACAGGAAAGGGAACATCACACACCGGGGCCTATTGTGGGGATGGGGGAGGGGGGAGGGATAGCATTAGGAGATACACCTAACGTAAATGACGAGTTAATGGGTGCAGCACACCAACATGGCACATGTATACATATGTAACAAACCTGCACGTTGTGCACATGTACCCTAGAACTTAAAGTACAATAAAAAAAAAATTTTAGTCTCTGATTTGTTTTTCTAGTTGTGACCCCAACAGCAGGCCATTTGACTGTGATCATGTCAGCATGGACTGCAGTGCTATTTACTTTTTGTATCTATTAATTTTCATGTTGAATTGTGTGTACTGTTTGGTGACACAATTATTATAATTATTATTATTTTTGATGGAGTCTCGCTCAGCCACCCAGACTGGAGTGCAGTGGCGCGATCTCAGCTCACTGAAACTACCGTCTCCCGGGTTCAAGCGATTCTCCTGTCTCAGCCTCCCAAGTAACTGGGATTACAGGCACCTACCATCATGCCCGGCTAATTTTTGTATTTTAGTAGAGATGGAGTTTCACCATGTTGGCCAGGCTGTTCTTGAAACCTTGACCTCAGGTGATTGTAAGCCCAGGCCTCCCAAAGTGCTAGGATTACAGGCATGAGCCACCGCACCTGGCCAGTGACACAATTATTTATGTCCTTCATATTCACCTGGAGTTGAGATTATTTAAATTGCTTTGTAACCTTGAGTAGGTCATTTAATTGCAGTTTCAACAGTCTTCAAATCACAATGGACCCTATCCCAGTTAGCCACTAAAATAGCCTGTGATGGCAAGCTCTTGTCACAATAATCCATATAGTTGGCATTTCATATTTTAAGGTTAAAAAATGGATACATTTCTAAAATGTTGTGATTAGGAAGGTTTTGGTTTTTTTTTTTTTTTTTTGCTTTAGCCAACGTTTTTAGAGGTTTGGAATAAAATTATGCCCCCTTGGGTACATGTAGCCTTAACTAGACATGGATGCCAGTCTCTTGTAAACACACTCAATTCCTTGCAGTCCAGAATGGAAGCTTGTTTCCATTAAATGTTTAGTCTTTCCAGATACTCCAGGAATGAAAAATGCTAAAGAATTCAAGCTGCCTCTGATTTCATATGAAAATGGAATTATGGTGGTAGTGATCATCATAGTAACTGAATGGTTACCATGTTCCAAGAACTGTGCTTAATCTGTCATAACTCTGTGGGCAGGTAGGTATTTCATTCCTTTTATACAGATGAGGAAACTGAGGCACAGAGAATGTAACTGACTTGCCCAAAGCACCCCATCTGTGCTTGAGAAACAGGAGTTGACTCAAATCCAAGTCTTCTCATATCAAAGCTATGTCCTTAATCATCTGGTCTGCTAGATGGGCTAACTCCTGACAAGATTTGCACTTGGGGCCTTGATCAGCATAGCAGAGGTCTCAGGTAGTTGGTGGGAGAAATGGGGAGTGCTTCAGCAATATTAACCATTTGTTCGAGGAAAAAGTTCAGAAATACTTATTTTAGATCTCATTCAGATTCCTAGGCCCCATCCTAAAACTTCTGAATGAGACTTGTTGGGTTGAGACCCAGGAATCTGCATTTAGAATAAAGTCCACATGTTGATTTTGTGACTAATGAAAACCTGCTATACCTGGCCGGGTGTAGTGGTTCAGTCCTGTAATCCTAGCACTTTGGGAGGCTGAGGCAGGTGGATCACTTGAGGTCAGGAGTTCAAGACAAGCGTATTCAATATGGTGAAACCCTATCTCTACTAAAAATACAAAAATTAGCCGGGCTTGGTGGCATGCGCCTGTAATCCCAGCTACTCGGGAAGCTGAGGCAGGAGAATTGCTTAAACCCAGGAGGCAGAGATTGTAGGGAGCCAAGATCGCACCACTGCACTCCAGCCTGGGCAACAGAGCTAGACTCTGTCTCAAAAAAGAAAAGACAATTACTGCACCTAATTGCTAGGCATCATTTCATGTCTATTTCAGTAATCTGTGGGGCCCAGTCTCTCAGGAAGGGTTAAGACAGAGGTATTCCTGCTCATCATCATTGGCAGAATCTAGAGTATTTTTATTTTTGTAGTATTTTTCTTTTTAAGCTCCTACACTAAATATTTGACTAACATCTAATACATTATGTTATTGGAGGGAAAATGTATTTAAGGAGAACTGTAAAATTGACATTGATCTCTCTCCTCAAACAAACTCTGCCTACCCCCGTCCTGCTGCATCTCCCAAATGATAGCTGTTCTCTCGTGGATAATCCAAGGCCAAGGTGATAAGAACATCCCATTCTGAATAAAACTATCCGAGCCTGTGTTAGCTTTCTATTGCTCCCATAACAAACTTCCACAAGTTTAGCAACTTAAACAGTACAAATTTATTATCTTAACAGTTCTATAGGTTGGAAGTTTGACGCAGGTCTCACCAGGCTAAAGTCAACACAGCAGGACTGCATTCCTTTCTGGAGGTTCTAGGGGAGAATCGTTTTCATGGCTCATTGGGTTGCTGGCAGAATTTAGTTTCTTTTGGTGGTAGGCCTGAGATCTCCGTTTTCTTCCCGGATGTAAAGGGAAGGCCATCCCCAGCTTGTAGAGGCCACCTGCATCCCTTGGCCCATGGTTCCTTTCCTTTGTCTTCATAGCCAGTGACAGTGGGTCAAGCCCCTCTTACACTTTAGTTCTCTGCTTTTAAAGACTCATGTGATTAGGTTGAGCCTGTCCAAATAATCTAAGACAATCTGCCTCATCTCAAGGCCCATATCCTTAATGAACATCTGCAAAATCTGTTTTCCCATGTAAGGTACCATATTCATAGGTTCTGGGGATTAGGATGCAGGCATCTTTGGGGGACGGGGTATTATCCTGCCTGCCACAGATGCATTGTCTGCCTTTGTTGACAAATAAGATAGCGGTGGTTATCACTACCAGCAGGGCTCCAAGCATTCATGTTGATGTACATGAGAAAATGTGACTTAACAGGATATCTTTCTAAATAGAAAACATTTCAGGGCCAGATTCCAAAACAAATAGTTTTGAAAAGGATGTTTCAGGGCTTTTGTGTAGTCAAGCAGAGCTGCCACAACATTTGTCTCTGTGAGTAGGAAAGGAAGGTAATTCACATTGAGCCTGCTTCTCTGGTAGCTTGGATTCAGAAAAAAATTCTGATATGAAATAGGCACACCCATTCAGCCAGAATATTTGCTTTTTGTGACTCATTGCCTACCATATGCTCCCCTGCTTCCACACCTTTGTTCATGCACTTTCAGCTGCTTGGTGTGCCCTCTGTCTACCAATTTATCTATGATACATATTTATGACAAGTTTTGACACCTACTTATTCTAGGCAACATTTTCCAAGATGCTAAAAGTATGGCATCTACTCATTTTCCCCAAAAACCGAAGTAAAATGCTAAAAATAATCCATGTCATCTGCCAGATTTCCAAAGGCTGTTTTTGAGTTCTTCTCTATGATGTTTTCCTCCATAAATGTGTTCAGCATTAAAGAAACCCCTGCAACATCTTGGCTATAGTGAGTACTTAGTAACTACTTACTGAAGTACTAAATTTAGGTAATTGATTATATTATCTTTATACCAAAAGTCTGCAAGATGTATGTATGTATTGTGTCCTTAGAATATTCTAAACAAAAGAACATTGCTAAGAGTGTTTCATATAAGCAAGTAAAACTGGGATTGTTAGAGGTGAGGTTTCCAATTCATCTTTTACTAAATATGTTAATTCATGTTCAGTCAGATTACTCAGAGGTATAATGAGCAAGGGAGTGGACTTTTTTCTTCTATTTTTAAATGTGATGTATAGTATATATGCAGAAAAACATAAAAATTGTGTGTATAGATTGATTTTCACAAATGACTACTCCCACAGTCAGCACCCTATTGAGAAATCAGAATTACTCCTGGCTCCCCAGAAACTCTCTGACTGCTTTCCAGTTGCCGTCATTCTCAGGGGTCATCACTACTCTGATGCTTCAGAAGTTTAAGAAGTAGACTTTTTTTTTTTTTTTTTGTGAGGCAGAGTCTTGCTCTGTCACCCAGGCTGAAGTGCAGTGGCATGATCTCGGCTTACTGCAGTCTCCGCCTCCCAAGTTCAAGTCATTCTTCTGCCTCAGCCTCCCAAGTCGCTGGGATTACAGGTGCCTGCCACCATGCCCAGCTAATTTTTTTGTATTTGTAGTAGAGATGGAGTTTCACCATGTTGGCCAGGCTGGTCTCAAACTCCTGACCTCAGGTGATCCACCCACCTCAGCCTCCCAAAGTGTTGGGATTACAGGCGTGAGCCACCGTGCCAAGCCTGAGAAGTAGACTATTTTTAAGATACAGAAAGATATTCTCACAGATGATATGACAATCTTAGAAACAAATCTCTAAGCAAATGTTTATGGGTTTATAGAGATTTTTAAAAATGTGACTCTTGCCTTGAAGGTGCATTTAAACATGGAATAGTAAATTCTTTTCTAAATGTTCTTGCTTTATCAAATAAGTTGAATTACATATACAACTTTGACTCAGTTTATTATTCTCCAGTATTTATTGAGTACTTGTGATGGTTCAAAATATTCATAGGCTGTTAAAGCTGCACCATACAGGCCGTGTGCAGTAGCTCACACCTGTAATCGCAGCACTTCGGGAGGACAAGGTGGGCAGGTCACTTGAGGTCGGGAGTTTGAGACCAGCCTGGCCAACATGGTGAAACTCTGTCTCTACCAAAAATACAAAAATTAGCTCAACACGGTGGTGGGCACCTGTAATCACAGCTACTCGGGAGGCTGAGGCAGAAGAATGCTTAAACCTGGGAGGGGCAGAGGTTGCAGTGAGCCGAGATTGTCCCCCTGCACTCTAGCCTGGGCAACAGAGTGAGACTCTGTCTCAAATAAATAAAATAAAATAACAAACAAGAACTGAGCCATATCCTTGGCCCTGATCAGTGACTTGGCACTATATCATTTTCTACATAGTTGTTATTGAGATCAAATTAGAAAATTTTTCAGTATTTTTTTTTTGGAATTTTGGTTTAGGCTCATAGTGGATATTGAAGAAGAATATATTGTCAGCAAAAGTGGCAGTCTCCATACTGTACATTTTAACTGTCTACTGTGACATTTACCGACAAAGGGGAAATTGAAATGGCTTGTAACAGAATGGAACGGGTAAACTCTTAGAGCAACTGGATTCACAGCTGTAATGTCCCTCATTCCCCATCTACCCTCTGTGTTCAAGGATGTTTGCTGAAGCATTATTTCTAAAAGTAAAACATAGGAAACCACCTTAGTTAGCAACCTGAATGCTTAAATAAATCATGGTATAGTCACAACATGGACTGTTATGAAGCATGAAAGGCATACTTTCAAAAACTGAAAACTTTAGTATTAAGTAAAACTATATATAGCAAATACCAATTTTGTTTGGAAAATTGTATATTCAAACACATGTACATAGAAGAAAGATTGAAAATTTATAACATTTTGGCCTTGGTTATTTCTGAATGGTGTGCTTGAGAACAATTTAGATTTTATTATTTTCCAAATATTTTTAATTCTGCATATTGCTTTTCAACAATCAGAAAATAACCACACAGGATCCATTTTTATAAAAGGACACATAGGGCAGATAATTGGTTTTTCCCGTGAAGTGAAGTCCTACAGGAAATCAGAGCAAATACATGTTTAGTCAAGAGGTTAGCAGAACTCCATGCAACAGCAGCAGGACTACAGCCATCCACAGGTGGTCTCCTTGAAATAATGGAATTTTCAATGCAAAAAACATTAATGTCACCTCATCCAACTTTCCATGTAGGGATCCCAAAGACAACAGCCTGTGCACCTCCAAAATTGACTCTGAGCTTTTGGACACACAGGTCCAGTGTTCCGGGTGTAGAACCTCACTGTTCCAGTCCAGGTTGTCTCTGGACCATGTGGACAGAGTATTTCCTTACATTGGTGCAGAATTTGTCTCCTGGTATTTCTGCCAGTGGTTCTCACTCTACCAGCTTGTGGCCATAAAGAGCAAGAATAAGCCTTCTTCAATACAGATGTCCTTTAAAATATTTAAATATGAGTGTGTATTTTTAACATTCATTGAGGTATAATTTAGGTATGCTAGACTGTACCCATTTAAAGTGGACAACCAGCTGTGTTTAGACAGGTATATACAGCCACCAAATCACCACCACAATCAAGATGTAGAACACTTCTTTTCCTCCAAAGCCGCCTCGTGTATTTTGCTTTCCATCCCTCCTTTCACCCTGTTCCAAGCAACCTTTGTTCTGCTGTCACCATAGGTTAGTTTGTATTTTCTAGGGATCGTGCAGTACTGTATGTACTTTAAACAAACAAACAAAAAAAAACTGGCTTATAAAAGTCCTTAACTTTTTCTTTCACTTTATGAAACAGTTTTATAACATCCATTCTTTACCTTTATGGAGCCATCATAAAAGCTGTTTTAGACTTTCCTTTCAGATAATTAACCAGACAGTGAAAATGCATTATACATTTTGCAAGTGAAACTGTTCTTGCCTCACTTAAATGGTAGTATTGGACTATAACCCTTGGGGCATCTTCTGGTTTTAACACTGTATGATATTATAACATGTTTTCAGTTACTATTCAAAGATAATTTTGGATATTTGCTTGAAATCAGTCCAGTGACTAATTGAAATTCAGTAAGATGTTAGGGTTTGTTTGTTTGTTTTTGGTTTTACAGTTTTCTAATTATTTCTGGGAATTAATTCTTCATGATTTTTTACATGGTGAAAACAATATTGGTATTTTCTTCTCTTTTTTAAGAGATAGGGTCTTGCTATATTGCCCAGATTGGAGTGCAGTGGCTATTCACAGGAGTTATCATAGCACACTACATCCTTGTTCTCCTGGACTCAGGTGGTTCTCCTGCCTCAGCCTCCCAAGTAGCTGGGATTATAAGCACATACCACTGTGCCCAGCTTAACATTGCCATTTTTGAATTAAAGTGACAGAGGAACATTTATAAAAAGAATATGGAAGCTCATAGGTACTCCCATTCCATAGGAAGAAAACCTGCTTGGGTAAAATCTAAGTGGTAAGGTGAATACAACAATATATTTTCAGCTCCCCAGCTATAATCAAATGGAAATGATTACGACATCCACATTTTTGTCTCTTGATTTTTTTTTATGGTTCTAAACCACACCCATGTTGCAGGTTGGCCTTTCTACTGAGAGTAAGTTCCGTCGAGATTAAAATCTGTAGTAATAGGCAGAACACTTCTGTGTGGAATTGCTTCTTTTCTTTGGTCAAACACCAGCTTTGGCAGAGGATAGACACAGCTTAGGAAGACTGAATTTTAAGTCTTCTGAACTGTTTTTCTGGACTTCCAAATCTCAAGTGATAAGACCAGCAGAAGCAGGTATACAAAAATTTCTCTCTGTCAATAGCAATAAGATAGCCTCGGATTCCAGTTTGCTTTTTCATATAATTGTTAGACTGAGAAAAGCACCCTCATAGTATTTCTTTTTTAAATGCATTGTTGCTTTGGGACTCTAGATGGCTTTGCATAATCATTGTAAATAGGAACCTTGGTGTGAAGATATAATGCTTCTCTCTTCATTTTTCTGTTTGAATACTTTCTTCTATAAGCACCACTGGTTAGAGAAGAAAGGACTGTTTTGGTTTATTGGGGGTTGGATAAAAATATTAGACTCATAATTCTCGGTTGGGCCTTGATTTTCCTTTCAGAAATGGATATAAGTTGTTAGGAGAATGCTGAAGTGACTGAATATACTCTTTCTGTGCCATCTAGAATGTGTGTGTATTATTGCTTGGAAACTTGATGCTTTCAGTCTGATGGAAACAGCTCTTCTAGTCTATAGTTTAATTGTGGATAAGCAAAACTCCGCTTTTTTCCAGAGAAATTTCACAGATTATAAGACATAGTAATAGAGGGTATCTCCAGTACTAGGAATGTAATAAGATTCTGTCTAAGCAACTGCAGTCTGAAGAAAATATCTAAATGGAAATACATTCTTTATCATTATATTTGTTCTTCAGCATTTCCAAGTACCAAAATGTACTTGGGGATAACAACTTTGCTTAAAACCTTTTCACGGTTTCATTGAATTTGGGAAGGGCCTGAAAGCTTTCAGAAAGATGATTTTCTTATAAATAGTGTACAAATAAGCAAGTTGCTCTTTCGTGAACATTTTTAATGGTTTCTGAGGCTGGCCAAAAAACTCTCTGTCTTTACCCTACGCAGCCCTAGAAGCTGTAGCAGCCTTACCTTAAGTTCTTTTCTTAGTAAAGCAGAAAATGAGCAGTTCCCACCCTGTGTAAAGCTGAGAAGATCTTGAATGATGCATGTCGAGGAAACTTGGATACTGATACTGCTGGCAATTTATATAGGCCCCAGTGCCAAAGAATTAAAGACTCTGGAGTTTTCTTAAAAGAGGCCAGCTTTTAAAAAGTTATGTTTTCTTTTCCCAGTGACCTGAGCTCTTAAACCTAAGTAGAGAATTAAGACTTGCTCAGTTTTGTGAAGCAGTCAACTTATTTGTATGCACCATAGAATACTCTGTGGCTCTTGTTAGAGAAGTGAACACATTGTGACCAATTAACCATGGAAAGTGAGTGCCATGGGAACATGTTATGTAGTTAAAACACATGGCTTTCTTAGGAACTGGAATTGCCTTTCCTATATTATACCTGGAGTCCAACAAAGGCTATGCCTTTGTGCCAGTCCTTTTATAATGAATCAACCAATTGCTCAATTGTATTCTTGTGGAGGAGGGGGATAACATTCCTTTATGATCCCCAGTTTAGATCAGTTTACCACCCAAAGCATGATATTTGATTACCCTTATTATGTTTCTTTGCGTAGCTACAAATGTTACTAATGGTGTGGCCTTGTCTAGCCATTTAAAAAAAAAGTCTGCCTCTGTGATGACTTAACAGTCAGTGCTGTAAAAGGCACTATTGCTTGGAACCCTGGAAATACGAGCCCAAAGAGAATAGAGCAGCACTTTGGGGTTAGGGATAAACTGCAGAAACAAAACTCTTAAACTCCTGAATATGCCAGTGAGTGCCTGGCTGCCTACTTTTTCTTCTAAGTGCTGATTTTAATCTCTAAAGCTCCCCGGGTCTGCGCCTCAATTGCTTTAAGAATTATAAAAGTTTAGCTACCATTTCTGACTATGTGACTATGTTCTTCTATTAGAATTGAGGTTTCTAGGGTTCCCTGTTTCTCTTTCCTTCCAAATGTTTCCAACTCAGTTATTGGCATTACAGGAAAAACAAAGTGTTGTCAGAAGCTACTAAATGCTTATCCCTGTATCTACCTACTCCAGCTGAGATGGGAGGTCGAGATGCTTCTCCTCACATGTTGGAGCAGTGGTTCCCAGGCTTCTGGAATTTGTAGCTCATCAGTAACAACATGTTGTGCATATACTACTTGCAAGGTCTATATTTTTAACTTTTATATACTAAATATATGTGTTATACATGTTCTACTTAATGTGTAGGTTATATATACTAGGGTATATATGAAGATAAATGCTGCTGGATGTGGTGGCTCATTCCTGTCATCCCAACACTTTGGGAACTGAGGCAGGTGGATTGCTTGAGCCCAGGAGTTCAAAACCATCCTGGGCAACACGGCAAAACCCCATCTCTACTGAAAATAGAAAAATTAGCTGGGTGTGGTGGCATATGCCTGTAGTCCCAGCTACTTGGGAGGCTGAGGCAGGAAGATTAATTGAGCCCAGGAGTTCGAGCCTGCAGTGAGCTGTGACTGTGCCACTGCACTCCAGCCTGGATGACAGAACAAGACCCTGTCTCAAAAAATGAATGAATGAATGCGTGAATGCATGAATGCATGAATGAATGAATGCATGAATGAATGAATGAATTCATGCATGCATACTACTCAGGAGGCTATGTCTTCCTATGTTGGGATTACAGGCATGAGCCGCTAAAACTAAACTTAAAAGGATAAGAAGGGGAGCTCATAGAGATTGTGGTACACTCCTCTTTTGCTAGGGGACTGCTACTTCCTCCCAAGTAGAGCACAGACAGATCAGGAGTAAATAAGGCATGGGCATAGTTTTAGCAACAAGAAGAGTGGGGATGATGGAAAATCAGGAAGAGGGTATCTTAGCAAACACATGTTAATAAGCAATGAGACATGGATTTGTTTTGTTAGGGAGGATGGAGGGGGAGGAGTCTAGAGCAAGCGCCCTCACTGCTGCTGTTTGAGTGCTCTCTACATCACTAACGTTGTGCTGGGTGTTTTTTGTACATTATCATTTCATCCTGGCAGCCAATCATAAAGTAGGGTTTAAGATGAGGAAACTAAGGCAGACAGGAGTTAAATGAAAAATAAAAAAATAAGATGATTTTTAAAATCTATTGTTAATTGGAAAGACTTTATCATATCATTAACTAATATCTCGTATAATATATGCACAAAATACTGTTTATTAATGAGTGAGTATAAAGTTGTATTTTATAAAATCTCGATAATTTTGACTTTTTTGCCCAACATGCGATCACACTGCTCCTCTTTTGTTTTCTGATGTAGCTGATGAAGACTCCTACTAAGATTAGAGGTGTGTGTTCTATTGTTTTCTTATGCTTATATGATTTGTATTTTTTACAGTCTCCAATTGCTTTGCAGACATATTTTTAAAGCTACTTGCTTATTTAGTGAGTGTAGCTTTGGTGTCAACGGGGTTATATAATCTGTTAATCCACTCAACCAGGCATGCACAGACTGTAGAACATCACAAATGCTGGAAGCGAAAAAGGAATGACAGTCACTGTCCAGGCTCTTTGTGGACTGTCTACTCCTCTCTTGGGATATCCCTTGAACTGTTTGCGTCATGGGATCTGGTCATAAGGACCAACTTGGGATTCTACTGAAAATATACACATTAAATATTTGTAAAGCTAATTTTGTTTCCTTATTTTTAGTTTTAAAAATATACATTGTTCTTATATTTACTTCCTACACTCTGGTAGAGATCATTGTTCTTGGTGACTCTTGTCTTCTGAGTAGACAAGGTTGTGACCTCAGTTTTCTCATCTGTTAAACAGGGAGTTGGACTAGATGACTTTTTAGGTGTTTGGGGAGGGGATTTTTTTAAACCACATTTAGTTTTGTACCTACTTTTTTGTACTGGCATATGCCTATTAACTCATCCTTCTAAGTAACACTCACTGGTTGGAAGTTTCTGTAAGGAATAATGTTCAGAAATAGGAGTGACATATTAAGGTTTGCTTTTTAAGTCAAGATTTTGGAAATATCTATTACACCCAAAATGGAACTTGAAAAGCTTTCTTACTCTTCAAGGCCCATCCAGTTTAAACCCTATCCTCTCAGGATAATTTTTGTCAGACCCACGTTTGAAGTATCTGCTATCTGTTTTTTTTCTTCTATAGAATTCTGCTTGTACATTCATCAGTAGACTTGAATTATGGTTGTATGTGTACATGTTTGCTTTCTATGAGGCACAGCTGTTTATTGTTTGTTTTGTTTTTGAGACAGTGTCTCGCTCTGTCGCCCAGGCTGGAGTGCAGTGTTGCTATCAGAGCTCACTGCAGCCTCGACCTCCCAGGCTCAAGAGATCCTCCTGAGAAGCTGGGACCATAGGCATGTACCACCATGTCCAGTTAATTTTTTTAAGACTTTTTTTTTTCTTTTAGAGACAGTCTCCCTGTGTTGCCCAGGCTGGTCTTGAATTCTTGGCCTCAAGCAATCCACCCGCCTTGGCCTCCCAAAGTGCTGCAATTACAGGTGTGAGCCACCATGCTGGGCCAATCATATTTTAAATGTTTAGAAAAAAATGAGGATTTGGAGTTCAGTTAGAATTGAGATAGTAAAAAGAACCATGTACAGGAAGAATTGTTTTGTAATCCTCTATACTGAGTCATCTAATTTCAATGTCTACATAAAAGAAGCTCAGATCTCTTTCTTGAATATCATGTAGAAAGATGATACCTTGGTTCCCTTGAGAACCTGATTCATGACATCATTGCTTTTGGCCATTCAAGAGTCATTGTGGTTTATTGAAAGGAACATGGAACTGGGACTCGGGCACACTGGAAATACTACCAGCTTTGACACTTACTAGTGGATGACCTAGGCTGTTTAGCTTGATCCCTCTGAACCTGTTTCCTTATATGTAGAAATGGGAATAAAGATGGGTCCTAGAACTGAAAATACAGTGTGTGTGCGTGCGCACACGTGTGTGCAGTGTACCTGTGTGCATGCACACATGTATGTGTATAAATTTATGTAGTGTAATATTATTTTTATTCCCATTTTACATGTGAGGAAACAGCTAATAATTCTATAATATGTAATATTCAGTCCTGTTCCTTAGCTCACTGGGCTGATGTGAAAATCAGATGTGA